TTAGCCTGTGAGACAGAAGGGATCAAATAGGGCTGACACTGAAGTACACACAGTGAATTACTTGTACTTCAGGTGTCTCTTTCACCTCCCACTTTCATGTTCTTAAAGTGACATGATCCTTTTAAAGTAATATTCAAGCAGGCTTAATTTATCTTCACCACACATGCCTCTGCTTTGTTCTGAAACACAGTGAAAGGATTGGCAGCTGGTTTGCATGCCATCAAAAGCTTTATTTTAAGTCACTTGTAACAGATTATTAAGGCCTCCTTGGCAAGGAAATGCGGAGGCTTTCTCATAAATAATCATCACCATTGCTTTTTAGTCACATAGTTATGTATTTACTTTTCTTGATATGCCCTATTTCAGACTGATCCAGTCCCACTGAAGCCAAGGGGATGCCAGACACATCGCTAGTTTTCTGTATCTGACTCTTAAGGTTCCAGATTTCCACCTGCAATTCACAAACCTTGTCAAATATATTGACTGGTGATGATCATTTTCTTGTGCATTCAGTGGAAGATTTCAAACACAAAGTGATCATTTGCTTAAAAGTCTTTTGCTTGCCTGTTTACCATGAGGCCTGTTGAACAATCTGTTTCAGACCAATGCTCAATGTAATGCGGTGTATAAGAAAGACAATCATTCATATCGCTATTGCAACCACTGTTTCACAATTTCCATAAATCTTGTACAAAGAGTATCATGTGAGGTATCAATGGAAAAGTTGCAATCCATCAAGTATGATGATACATGAATTTAACCAGGACAATCCTTGTATCTGAAACTATGAGTATTAGTTATATATTTGAATCTTACGTATGTTTTGTATTGCTGGATAGCACCCCAAATATAACTCTCCCCCTCCCAGTGTGTGTGTGTGTCTCACTGTAGCCTGTCATAAAACTTTAACCATCACTGCATTGACCTTATTTACTGTCAGCTTTTTCTTGGCTCAGGCAGTCCGCATCAGCTCTGGTGCCAGGCATCAGTGGTCCAGGCATTGGCCTGACTGAGGACTCTCTGGATCTGGTTCTGGCCTCAGGCCTGTGAGTCCGCTCCACCTTTTTTCCAAGAGAGGCTATTTCTAGCTGTTGTCCCCTGGCCTTAGGATCACCGCTTGCTGCTACGGAGCCTCAACTTTTCCCTGCCTTAGTATGCAGAGAATACACTTGGGGGCAGTGGTTTGGGCACACACCTCTGCTTCTGGGCTAGGCAAGAGGGAGCATCATCATATTTCCCTCCCTTTCTCCTCTGCCTGATGTGGAAAAGGGATTTGAACCAGACTCTGCCAAGCTATTGTTGAAGTACGGATCCTACCAGGCCCTCTGTCTTCCTGTGAAAGCTATTCCACACGAATTAACTAGTATGGGTACCAGCCTCAGGCTGAGTGGCTCTATTCTAGTGGTTAGGCTGCTTGCCTACAGGAGAGATTCCCAACGTCTTTCTTTCTAACCCCCTCACCAAGCTATAAAAGCTCCAAGACCTGGTGTGGAGGAGCCTGAGGAATCCAGTGGGTGGGGCCTCGGGCATAGGTGATGTTTGACCTGTGTTGGGGAGGGGATGCAGAGGTAAGCAGGGCTTGAGTCAGCTCTGCACAGCAGGGTCCAGGGAGAGAGCCCCACTTCCACCTCCTGACTCACCTCAGCTGCCCACTCAGCTTCCCTGGGCTGTGTGTGTGTGTGTGTGTGTGTGTGCGTGTGTGTGTGTGTGTGTGTGGTGCAACCACAAATTACAATTCAAAGGTGTGAGGCTCAGTTCAAATAGTTTGAAAACAGCTGAGGGTGCAGAGAGAGAGGTGCGGGTAGGGGCTGTGTGTGGAGGTGGCGGGTGATGGCACAGGGTGCAATGTGCAGGAAAAGGGGTAGCTCTGGTTGCCGGGAGGAGGTAGCTCAGGGTGCAGGTAGGGGCAGGTGCAGACAGGGGATACCTCAGGGTACTGGGGTGTGGCTAGGGGCTGTTGGTGGCTGAGGGGAGCTCAGGGTGCAGAGAGGGAGTAAATAGGGGCTGCGTGCAGGTAGGGTGTAGGGCTAAGGGTAACCAGGGGCTGTGTTCCTGGAGGGTTCCCTGGTGGTGCCTGCTCCCAAAGGGCTTTGCCCTCTGTGGCCTGGGCAGCTCTTACTAGTTGCAGGAGCAAAGAGCCTGGGAGCTGAGGAGCATCATCAACCCCCAGGGCCCTAGCAGCAGCAGGCAAGGCAGGAACACTGTGACTGCCTGCCCCATGGCACCAGCCAGAGCTGCTTCCCCATTGCCAGGGTCCGGTTTCCCAACTGGCTGGGTGCGGGTGGCAGAGAGAAGACAGTTGGGTTGGGGCGGTGAGGGTGGGAAGCTGCCCTGAGAATTGCCCTGCTCCTGCACTGCAGTTTGGGGGGCAGTGCCTTCTGACTCTGCCCATAGGCTCAGGGCTTCTGCCCCACAGGGAGCACTAGGGACTGGGGTTTTAATATTCAGCCCTGCTGCTTCCAATTTCAGCCCCAATGGGGCTTGGGCTCTGGGTTTCAGCTCTAGGACCTCCGTGACACTCCCCCCCTCGAATGGGCAGGTGGGATCCCCACGGGATCCATGGATCATGGGTGAGAACTGCTCACCTGAAGCATAGACAGCCTGCCTGAGGCAAATCCCTAACCCCACATTCCTCGTAAGATGGGGTTTAAATAGGGGCTCGCTTAGTGCCAGGTGCTTGGGGGGGGGAGGGTAGGAGAGAAGGAGGCTGTATTCCTCAGTCTGGCTTGTTAAAGCTGTTCTATTTTATTAACAAACTCCTGCACAGTGGAAGGCTTTGAAGTGGGGTGCCCAACTGCCTGATGAAGAGCCTAGCCCCTGGGGAGCAAAAGTACGCCTTGCATGTTTCCTGTGGCCCCAATTAAGATGTAAGGACAAGTGAGTGATGCACTCAGCACGGTCCAGGCACACGCATGTCTCGTCTCACCTAGCGATACCTGTGCTCACATGCAGAAGCATCGGCTGTAAGGTAACACGGAGGTGCCAAGTGAGGTTAGGCTCACGTAGAGCCGGGCAGCTGGGAGGCAGGGTTTTTTGTGGCTTACAACGGTGCCTCACAGGGCCCTTTGTGGTTCTCCGTGTGCATCTGGAGGACATGGAGTGTCAGTTTAGCCCCAGCTCGGCCGTGCATGCCTGCTGCATCGGGGCCTGCTGTACTTCTGACTAAAAACTCTCTGTGTCATTTGCCCCATTTAAGCAAATGGGAGTGGGGAGGTACCCTTCACCAAATGACCCCCCAAACTGTACCCACTAATGCTATTCTGCCTCTTTGCCTAGCATTCCAGTGCTCACGCCAATCTACGCCTACATTTGTAGGGGCAAGCACTTTAAAATTAAACACAGGCAAGGAAGGGAATTGTCTCTGGTGCCTATTGATTGTGATCCCAAATGGTACGCAAAGCCTTCCACTAGCATAGACATGTCGAAGCCAATGCGACTCTAGGAACTTTAGAGCACTTTAAGCAGCCATGTAACTGCAGCCTGAGTGTGGCTCTTTGCGCCCATGCCTTGCTCACAGCAGCCCGACGTGGTAGACATACTGCCTGGATTATTGCTTTTGGGGGGCTGGCGGTTGGTCACCTCAGGGGCAAGCCAGTGTGATATGTTCTATGTGAATACTGCTTATTGCCCCCACCCCTCGCCTGGAGCAAAAGCAAAGTGATTGCTTCCCATCACAAGAACAAGCACGAGCTATTAGCCGAGGTGTGTCAGTAAAGTAACCACATGCTGTTGTTTATAAGCCTGCTCTCATTGATTCTGAGTCCAAAGAGCAGAGGCATTCAGAGCTAGTCACACAGCAATGACTATCCAACAGTCTAAGATGGGGGTGGGCAATAATTTTTGAAGGGGGGCTACTACACAAATTTCTGAAGTGGTACTGGGACATCCTGGAAAGGGCGGGGCCTCAGGCGGAAGGGGCGGAGCCAGGAGACTTCCTGTGCTTGCCTGCCCATAGACCCTGATTGGCCTGGAGGTGAGGGAGCTCATGAAGTCTTTGCCCCCCACGCCTCCTGTGCCTAGAGAGAACCACCAGATGTTCAAAACAGCTGGCAGTTCTCTCTAGGTGCCTTGCACTTCTGGTGGCAGGAAGAGACTTCACGTGCTCCCCCACCCCCAAGTCAATCAGGGTCCAGTGCCGGATGGAGCCATAGTTGCACCATGGGAAGCAGGCGCGTGGCGCATGTGCAGCCCAGCCCCGGGCACGTGGCGCATGTGTAGACCCATCCCCGGGCGTGCCATGCACCTTAACATTTCAATCAGGAGCCCCCTTAAGTTGGCGCCCCATGCAGCTGCCCGCCTAGCCCCCCCCTAGTCCCCTCCTTAATCCGGTCCTGCAGGGTCTGGGGGCATGGGAGCATGTGAAGTTTCTCGTCCCCTGCCTCCAACTTGCCAGAGGTGTGTGGTGCCTAGAGGGAACTGCCAGATGATCTTGACTGGCCTGAAGGCGGGGGAGCAGCAGGGTGGCTATGGGCTAAATCAACTGGCTTGGCAGGTCGGATCTGGCCCCTGGAGGTTGTCTTGCCCACTTCCTGTGTAAGAGGAAGTTCCATCTCTGTCTGTTGTCTGGCTTTATAAATTGGGACCATTACTATGAGTGATGGCTCTTTGTGTGATTTTATTATTATTTTTGGACTGGCTGCCCAATAACATTTAAACATTATGTGATATAGAAAAACGGCACCACTTCCAGCAGAGACATCAACTTTCATGATGACCTTAGATATAAGCCTAGATATAAGCTTAGATATAGGCTTAGATATAAGCCTAACTCATGATAGCAATACAATTTTTCTGGTTCACGAGTTACTCCTTCGTGCTCAAAATGAGTCCAAGCTGGTAGAAGAGCCAGGGCTGTCATAAATGTAACTGAGCACTGTAAATGCTGCTTACAAATGAAACCAGCCAGGTTGATCAGAATTCCTCAGATTAGTCACTGTAGCAAGCAGCTCTCCATTTATGGATAGCAGGTTAGCATTGCTTTAATGAACACAAGAACAAAGTTAATGCATGAGGACTTTATTGATTTTTTTCTCCAACAGAATAACCATAGAAGCCACTAATTACAATGCTGAGAAAACAGATTCTTGTCTGTGGATGAAAAAAAGCATTCCAGAGACTCTACAGATTTCTGATATATTAAATGGAGGAGCAAGGATTAAAACTGACAGATAACGAATTTGTGCTGGTTGCAAATTGTGGTATTCCAGGTACCACCAGTGCACATCTGCACACATTTTTCTTCCTCATTGTAGCTGGGCTCATCTGGAAGCCAATTTGTATAATTTAGGGGATTTCCCGTCAGGCAAGTGATTTTGCCTGGAATTGGATCCACCTGAAAGCCCAGATAGGAACATTCCTGTTCATGCTCCTCCAGAATTTTTAAAATAGCATCATTTTCTCCCTTACTCTTGGGAGTTGCAATGTGCCCACCCGCCTGTTTGCACACTTCCACAGTGGTGATAAAATCAGCTTCTTCTCCATTGGTTGAATAAATTTTTCCTCCAGATGTTGTTAAGACTCCAAGAAAAGCAAGAGCTACAAAGTAAAGCAAACGATCTTGTTAAACCATTTTGAACCATTTTATGCTCTCATGATTGCTACTCTACCAGAACTTCCCGTATTACTCTTCCGAATGAAAGAAGAAAAACAAATTACAACAAAACAAAATGAGCCTGGGCTACGTTATTCAATCCTTCCAAACACTGCCCTCTGCTGGATGGAACATCAATGACATTGAGCAGGCTACTGCTCCTGTCCAGTGACCTCAGAAGGAACAGAATATGAACTCTAGAAGAGAGAAGGAGGGATGGGGGCAGCTGAAAGGGAAGAGAAAGGGTGAGGGGGAGAAATGTTTATCCAGTAGATTGTTATATTACTGCAAGGGGTTAGGAGAAAGGGGAAAGAGATGGAAAAGGGAGGAGAAATAGATGAAGATGAGAGCAGAGAGGTGGAAAGAGAAATTAAAATGTAGGAGACAGATAGGGAATGTGGAAGGAAAAGGAAGAAATGAAGGACAGAAGAGAAAAATTTGCTACTTGGGCTCTTATCTTTTAAAGACTGCTTCACTTTGCCCACACTGAGTAATAGGACTGACTTCAAGGGAATAACTCACAGTGCATAAAGTTAAGCATATGCATAAATCTTTGTGGGTCTTATTTGATCTGATACTTTTGTAGCCACAGTTTAACTGAAGGCCAACAATCTCAGTCACATAGTACTGGCGGCCCAGACAGATACCCCTGAAAGCACTTCTGCACAGAAAGGGGTCGCTGCAGTTTGCCAGCGCTGTTTGGTTTTCATCAATTTCAACACATCTCAGGTATTGAGAGGCGATAAGAATACCCAGGTTATCCTCTTTACCACCACACAAAATTTATCATTGCCCATCCACAGAGATCCGTTTTCCTTTGCATAAAGAGAATGTAAAACTAAATGGAACAAACAGTATTCTTAAGGAGCAGGGTTTTTTTTCAGCACTTGTTATCAATGGGACAGAAAGCATAAGCAGAGAGATTACCTTTTGCCACTTTGTCAGTTTTGTTTATTGATTGTTTGAAGGCTTCTAGTAACTGAACACAAGGAAGAGGTAGGCCTGTGGACCCCAAAAAATTATGAACTTGAGTTAAAGTGTTAGAACCAGGCTTCACCAACAAAGTGGAATTTGTGTAACATTAACAGCAGTTTCATAATACAATTGTGATAAAGTTAAAAAAACAACAAATAATCTGGTAGCCCTTTAAAGACTAACAAAACCTCTAGATGATATCATGAGCTTTCGTGATCACAGTTCATGACTCTGTAACAAAGACATTTTCGAGATTCAGGTTTATAGTCTCTCTGGGATGTTTGTATTAACTGAAAATGTTTTCAAAGAGAGAGAGAGAGAGAGAGCTATTTTTTTTCTCACTTCCAGTGCTGGAAACTAGATGTAGCCCTGAGAGTCAAGCTGACTTAAAAAACAATGAATAGTCTAGCAGCACCTTAAAGACTAACAAAACATGTAGTGATACCGTGGGTTTTTGTGGGCACAACCCCCTTCTTTCCTGCTGGTACATCATCTCTAAAGGTGAGCTGACCAGCCTCTAGGAGGGTGCGTCTCGATGCAGGCAGACAACCCACACCAGCTCTGCCCAGGTTAGCACACTACAAATAGAAGTGTGGCTGTTGTGACATTGAAAGTAGCTTTGGCTATGTGTCTAGGGGGCTCCTAGGGCCTCAGATGGGTTCAGATGTATCTACCCGAATTGGTGTAGCCATACCTGCAGCGTGAAGGTTCTGCAGCCCCAGAGATGCCTGCAATGGGAATGCCTACACTGTGTTTTAAAACCTACGGCAGGAAGTCTCAGAGCCCTGGTCTACAGACAAAGGCTTGTGGGGGCTCATGTTATGTTGCTAAAATGAGTTTTGTAGCGATTCAGGCTCAGGCTGGGGTTCAGGCCCTGAAGCTCAGACCTGTTCCTGGGCATCAGAACCCAGGTCCGAATGTCTGTTGACCTGGGGTTCGGAGCCTCATGGCTACAGGTTTTGAAACACACCCAGGGACACTAGTGCCACCCCAGCTCTCTCATTTTCTGCTCTGTTGATTCTGCTGCAATGGCAGGAGTAAGCCACAACAAAACCTTATCTTGGGCAGTAAAGCCAGCAGACATGACCGAATAGGCACAGTGAGCAGATCAGCAGAGCCAGAAGATGCCTTTTTCACAGAGTCACTTTTTGGAGTGGAACGAAATTCTTAAAACTCAGTTATGGTCAATTTTGTCTAGAGGGAGACAGACAGACAGACAGACACAACTAAATCAACACCGATTGTTCTTTTTTACTTGGTTGTCCAGGCTGCCTTGGCTCTCTTATCTCACCTGGCATACCCATTGGCCCCATTGGCCCCATAGGCCCGTCTTTTCCAAAAAGGTTTTTAAGGAAATTTAGTATCTCTGGGGGACCTGTGGAAAGGAAAAACAAGAGTGAAAACTTGCCTCTCTGAGCTTCCCAAGAGATGTATTTAACTCAGAATAACCCCTGCTGCTGGCCTTCTAGGGCACAGATTGCATTACCTCAGCTCAATAGCTTTTCCTTGCCAGAAATGATTGGAAATGATAGAGATGAAGGTTGGGGCATGTCATAGAAACCTGGCCCCCTGTCATATCCTTGGAGTTTGGGCAGGAGGAAGCTGCTCTTTATTCCTCTGAGTACAATGGAATGTTGTTTAAAGGCCAACAGAGCTGTGTGGTGCAGGAATCTGGGAAGACTGTGAGAAAGGCCGTAACCCTTCCATTTTCCAACTCCCCACAAGGCTCACTAGAGAGTCAACACACATACAGAGAGAAGGGTTCGCTGACAGAATTCCTGCAGGGGTGAACACCGAGACCCATGTGATTGGTAACACCGTGTAACATTAATATAGGTTGTACCTTCCTTAACAGGACTCTCTGGTCTGACAGCATCCCTGGCCTGGCAGGACCATGGATGTTGCTGGACCAAAGAGCACATGTGTAGGGAGGTCTGGACATGGGGCAGGAGCATGGCAGAAGGGGCCGGTGACTCAGCCAGGAGCCCCATGTCTGTAGGAGAGGGGGTGGGTGACACAACGGGGAGCTATGGCCCCGGCCCCAAGTGCAGCCAGGGAGCTCTTGCTCCGTGTGTGGAGCTCCAGAACCTGGAGGAAGCCACAGCCATCCAGGCAGAAAGCAGGGCCAGGCTGCAGTCCTAGTAAGCTATGTCAGGACTACAGGCTTGTTTCGGAAGAAGGTTTTTTGGAAGAGATCCAGACTGAATGGACGCTCTCTCGCATGTAAGCTGTGATTGCATTGGACGGAATAAACACCAGAGCACCTGTACTTTTTCCTCTTTCCTCTTCTTCTGAAAGAACTCCCTCTTCCCCATCCACACACGCCTTTTGATGAAAGAGCTCTTTGGCAAAAAGGCTTCTTCCTTGTAGAATGAGATTTACCAGTGATGGAAAAGCCCCTCTGTTCTTTCAATTTTCTTGTGGAAGACTGCAATGGCAGTGTGGATGTTCCTCAAGTCTTGTCAGAAAAACGGCCATTTTTCCAACAAAACTTTGTAGTGTAGACATACCCCCAGTGATACCAGTGTAGCCCCAGGTCTCTCATTTTCCTCTCCGTCGCTTCTGTGGTAGGGCCAGGAGTAACCCACAGCAAAACCTTATTTTAGTCAGTAAAGCTAGCTGCCACGACCGAATAGACCCAGCGATCAAGATCATCTGAGTCACTTTCAAGAGTAAAAGTGAAATTTTCAAACTCAGCTATGGTCATTTTTCTCTAGGGTTAGACAGACAGACAGACAGACACACGCAAAGTTAAATCAACACAAATTGTTCTTTTTTACTTGGTTGTCCAGGCTGTTCTGGCTCTCTCATCTCACCTTGTCCAGCCATTGGCCACATTGGCTCATTCATCTCATTTTTTCCAGCAGGTTTTGTGATGGGTTTTGGTGGGCCTGTTGAAGAGAAACACATGAATAAAAATCTTCCTACACTTCTCCCTGAGCTTCTTCCCAAATGATGCAAAGAATTCAGAATAACCACTACTGTTACCAGGGCACAGATTGCATTTCCTGAGCTCAAAGCTTTTCTTTACCAGTCATGACTGAAAATGGCTGAGATGAAGGTTGGATGCATGTCATAGGCAGAACATGCACTGCCTACATTGAAAGAGCAAATGCACGTTTAGTGCATAGAAACCTGGCCTGCTGCAGCATCCTTGCAGTTTGGACAGGAGGAAATAGCTGTTTAATCTCCTTTAATTACAAGGGAATAGTGCACAAAGGCCAACAGCGCTAAGTGGAGAGGGACCCTGGGAAAACTGTCAGAACGGTGGCACACTTTCCATTTTCCAATTCCCCTAATGATCATGAGAGAGTCAACACGCATACAGAGAGAAGGGTTCGCTGACAGAATTCCAGCAGGGGTGAACACCGAGACCCATGTGATTGGTAACACTGTGTAACCAATTAATATAGGTTGTACCTTCCTTAACCAGGACTCTCTGGTCCAGCAACATCCCTGACCTGGCTGGACTATGGATGTGGCTGGACAAAAGAGCCCACGTATAGGGAGATCTGGCCACGGGGCAGGAGTATGACAGAGGGGGCTGGTGACTCATCCAGAAGCCCCATGTCTATAGGAGAGGGGGTGGGTGGAACAATGGGGTGCTACGGCCCCGGCTGCAGCCCAGGAGCTCTGGCTCCATTTGTGGAGCTCCGAACCTTGGAGGAAGCCAGGGAGCTCCAGCTCTGGAGCTCCAGGCCTGGAACCATAGTCATCCAGGCAGCAGCAGGGCCAGGCTGGAGTCCTAGCAAGTGGCAAGGAGTAGAAAGACCAGTAGTCCATGACAGGCTATGAGGGGAGTGATCTCCCTTGGTCCGGTAAATCCCCTCATTTGCGACTGGTCAGGATCCGAGGGTGCCACACCAGGGAGGTCCAACCTGTCGTGGCTTTTGATTGCGTTACATTGCTTCCATTTTTTAGGGAAAATAATTCAGTCTCAGTGTAAGCCTACCAGCAGCTGGGAAGGTGCATCTCCGTGCAGGAGACAGCACTCGCTAGCTTTGTTGAAAAAAACTTTAAAAACAGCAAGTAGCCCTGATGCGCCTTAGAGACTAACAAAAAAGGTATAAAAGATCACGAGCTTTTGTGGACACAACCCACTTCTTCAGGGTTGTGCCTACGACAGCTCATGGCATTATGTACAATTTGTTGTTTGTCTCTAAGGTGCTACAGGATCACTTGTTATCTATTTAAGGTTTTTAAATTACAGACTAACATGGCTACCGCTCTGAGACTCTTTAGCTCTTTTCAAGTCAGCAGGCTGAAAACAGAAGCAGGGCTGTGGTGAGATGAGCAGCAGCTTGGGCTACCCATCTCGGGGGCATGTAGGAGTTCTGAGGGGGTCACATTTGTCTACCTGAGTTGGTGTAGACCTGTCTTCAGTGTGAAGGCTCTGCAGCCCTGAGTAGCTGGCGTTGGATATGTCTGCACCGTATTTTAAAACCTACAGCAGGAAATCTCAGAGCCCAGAAGCTGGTGGGTCTCATGTTATGGTGCTAATAAAAGCTCTGTTGACGTTCAGGCTCTGGCTGGAGCTCAGGCTCTGACAGGCCTGCTAAGAAAGGCCATGCAACGTCAGAGTCAGAGCTCAATGGTCTATTGACCTGGGGTTCATGTCTGCAGATTTTGAAACCCACCCAGAGACATCATTGGTGCCCCATCTCCCTCATTTTCCTCTATGTCGCTTCTGCGGCAATGCCAGGATTAAACCACAGCAAAACCTTATCTTACTCTGTAAAGCCAGCAGCCATGACTGAATAGACCCAGGGATCAGATCAGCTGAGTCACTGTTAGGAGTTTAAGTGAAATTTTCAAATTCAGCTCTGGCCATTTTTCTCTAGGGTAAGACAGACAGACAGAGATTAAATCTACACTGATTGTTCTGTTTCTTGGTTGCCCAGGCTGTCCTGCCTCTCACCTTCTCCAGCCATTTGCTTCACTGTCGCAAGAATCTTATTTTTTCCTGGAGTTGTCATGGGTTTTGGTGGGCCTGTTGAAGGGAAACACACAAGTAAAAACTTGCCACACTTGTCTCTGAGCTTCTTCCCAAATGGTACATTGAATTCAGAACAACCACTACTGCTTCAAAGGCACAGGTTGCCTTTCCTGAGCTCCATGGCTTTTCCTTACCAGACGTGATTGAAAGTGGTTGAGATGAAGTTTGGGCACATGTCATAGACAGAACATGCACTGCCTACATTGAAAGAGCAAATGCACTTTCAGTGCCGAGAAGTCTGGCCCGCTGCAGCATCCTTGGAGTTTGCATAGGAGGAAGTTGGTCCTCTGCCCTTTAATTTCAAAGGAATAGTGCCCAAAGGCCAACAGAGCTAAGCGGAGAGGGAGCCTGGGAAAATTGTCAGAAAGGCCAGTTCCCAATTCCCCACAAGGATTACGAGAGAGGCAATACACATACAGAGAGAAGAGTTCACTGACAGAATTCCTGAAGAGTTGAACAGACCCATGTAATTGGTAACATGGTATAATATTAATATACATTGTGCCTCCCTTACCCAGGACTCTCCCATCTGGCAACATCCCTGGTACAGCAGGACCATGGATTTTCCTGGAGCAAAGAGCCCACATCTAGGGAAGTCTGGCGATGGGGCAGGAGCATGGCAGAGGGGGCTGGTGACTCAGCGAGGAGCCTCATGTCGATAGGAGAGGGGATAGGTGGCACAACTGGGAGCTTTGGCCCAAGCCCAGGCCGCAGCCAGGCAGCTCTGGCTCCGTTTGTGGAGTCTGGCCCCCGGATCCAGCCAGGGACCTCCAGGTCTGCCCCCAGTTCTGGCTCTCCAGCTCCCAGAAGCAGCCAGGGAGCTCTGGCCCTGGTTGCAGAGCTCCAGCCTTGCAGCTACAGCCGCCCAGACAGTAGCATGGCCAGGCTGGAATCCTAGCAAGTGGCAAGGGGGTGGGAAAAGGCGGCAGTTCAGGACAGACTATGGGGGGAGCGATCTCCCTTGGTACGGAAAATCTCCTCATCTGGGTCTGGGTCAGGTCCCAAGGGTGCCACACCAGAGACGTCCAGCCTGTAGTGGCTTTTGATTGCGTTACATTGCTTCCATTTTTTAGGGAAAATAATTCGATCTCAGTGTAAGCCTACCGGCAGCTGGGAAAGTGCATCTCTGTGCAGGGAGACACGCGCACAGGGCTGGCCTTACCATGAGGTGAACTGAGGTGGCTGCCTCAGGTGCCAGACTGTGGAGAGGAGGGGGGAACCACTAGGACCCAGAGTGTAGAAAATTGTCTGCTGCTGGTGCATATGTATTCTCTCTGCTCTAGACGCACAGAGATGGTGGAGTGCTGTGCTGGAGGAAGGAGGGCACAAGAGACATAACAGGCAGGCAGAAGAAAGGGGACATGGGAGCATGATTTGAGCTCCCTATCCCAGGTGCCAAAATGTTGTGGGCTGACCCTGCACACGCACAATAAAAATAACACTGATAGTTCATTTTTACTTGACTTCCCAGGCTGTCTAATCTTACCTTGTCCAGCCACGGGCTTCACTGTCGCAAGAATCTTATTTTTTCCTGGAGTTGTCATGGGTTTTGGTGGGGCTGTTGAAGGGAAACACACAAGTAAAAACTTGCTACACTTGTCTCTGAGTTTCTTCCCAAATGGTCAATTGAATTCAGAATAACCGCTACTGCTTCAAAGGCACAGATTGCCTTTCCTGAGCTCCATGGCTTCTCCTTACCAGACATGATTGAAAGTGGTTGAGAAGAAGTTTGGGCACGTCATAGACAGAACATGCACTGCCTACATTGAAAGAGCAAATGCACTTTCAGTGCCTAGAAATCTGACCTGCTGCAGCATCCTTGGAGTTTGCATAGGAGGAAGTTGGTCCTCTGCCCTTTAATTTCAAAGGAATAGTGCACAAAGGCCAACAGAGCAAAGTGGAGAGGGATCCTGGGAAGGTTGTCAGCAATCCTTCCATTTTTCAACTCCCCACAAGGAACACAAGAGGGGCAACACACATACTGAGAGACGTGGTCGCTGACAGAGTTCCTGCAGAGTTGAACATGAGACCCACATCAGGGTAACATTGTGTAGCATTCATAGCAGCTTTTAAAAAAGCTTTTGATTGAGTTGCATTGGTTTCATTTTTCATGTGAAATAATTTGATCTCAGTGTAAGCCTAGCAGCAGCTGGGAAGGTGCATACACAGACAGCATACACTAGCTCTGTTCCAGTTAGTGTGCTGAAAATAGATGTATGGCTGCAGTGACACGGGCAGCAGCTTAGGCTGAGTGAAAATTTGCCGCACTCCTTCCTGAGCATCTTTGCAACTGATGCACTTAATTCAGAATAACCACAGACTGCATGACCTCAACTTTTCCTTACCAAGCATGATTGAGATGAAGCATGATTGGATGTATGTCATACGTAGAACATTTACTCCCAACAATGAACCCCACGCATGTGTGATGGGTACTTCCAGCACCAGAGACCAGGCTAGAAGGCATCTAGAGTCTCTAACTTGTAGTTACTTTTATAATGAAATTAAGGCATGACAGCGCAACTTCCCTTTTCCTAGTAGACCCATCAACTTATAGGCAAGTTGGATTTGGCATTGCAAGTAGCAGTTCACTATAAGCAGAAGTGGAAAATAAGTAGAAATACTTGGTTATCCTACCCAATACTTTTTTGGGGGTATTTGTACTTTACTCAAGTAATTTATTTTTGTGATCAGAGGGTACGTCTACACTGCCACCCTAGTTCGAACTAGGGTGGCAGTGTAGACAGCCATTGGTGGCTGTGAGAAGGGGCGGACATTCTTCAGGCTAAGATGAATTCTTAGCCGGCCAGAAAAGCTGGCTTTATGGACCTGTGGGTACTGGAGAGGCCATAGTGGAGGCCTGCATCTGGTCCATCTCCTCAACTAACTTTCTCACCCACTTGGATTTGTGGATACACTTTACGGTATCCCATTTCCACCCTAAGGAAAAGTGTAGAGTTTTGGAAGTCACAAGGGCCCAAAGCTGGTCTTTAACCTTCACACATATTTCTTTCTATCCCTCTGAAGCATTGCCACTTGGATCCAGGAGTGTGAGGGACTGTAAACAATGGGCAATGCTATATGGCAATTTACTGACTTGGGGACCGAGTCCAGCAGGGTGCTGCAAAGACTGACACTGGCAGCTTTATTGCACATCTTTAGTAATGGCATGGAAAGATAGATAGGGAGCATACCAAGTACATATGCAGATGGTAAGATCTGGAGGGTATTAAAGCCATCACTGAAAACAAACTCTCCAGTTGTGCAAAATTAGAACTATGTACAGGAAATAGCCACATTACTTTAGGCATTGAAAAAAAAAGAAAGGGTAACACTGGAGGTTTCAAAGTATAATGGCTGGTATACTACACTCTGAACCCAGCAAACTGTGTTCAAATCTCAGTGAGACCCAAGTGCACTTTTAGTGGCTCTGTAGTGCATTGGACTTGTAGGCTACGTCTTACTTCAAAGTAAGAATAAGAGCCTCCGGAAAAGGGCACTTTTCCGGAGGATCGGGGCCAGTCTAGACGCTCTTTTCCGGCTTTTTTAAAAGCCGGAAAAAAGCGGCGGACATTTTTATTTAAATGCCGCGGGGGATATTTAAATCCCCCGCGCATTTCCCTACGACGACTAGTGAAATTTACATGCCCCTTCCGGAAAAGGGGCCAGTGTAGACGTAGCCTTAGAGTTTTACTCAAGTGCTTTTTAAAGAAACTATTGTACTTTTTACACCACTGACATTTCCAGAAGTGCTTCGTTACTCATTACTTTCCACACCCCACTGACAGTTGCGCAAGCCAGCATTCTGATTAGCTAAAGCACAGCTGCATGTGCAAAGCATCCAATCATCATGCAATGAGGATTAAAAAAACAATCAACAAGCTCAATGACCCTGCCAATGAAGAAACCTTTTAATAGCCACATCAACACCTTTGGTTTAAAAACAGTATCTGAGCAGGGGTGTGAAGCCCTGCGCCTCTCAGGCCGGATCCGGCATGCTGGGGAGAAGCACAGTGCTGAGCGATGCTGCCCACCCTCCCCCTGTTTGGGGGGAATGCGGTGCCAGAAAGCACTCGTGGGAGGGTTTCCCTGCTGCTCCCATTGGCCAGATTTCGGCCAGTGGGAGTAGCGGGGAGTGGCAGTAAGCATGGAGCTAGGTAAGCTCCTCCCCACTCCCTTCATGGCCAGCCTTTTCCCCATCTCTCTCCTGTGCTCCTCCTCCTGCCCAGCTCTCCCAGTACCGGTCCACTTCTGTACCCTTCCACCCTTCCAGACACCCCACCCTCAGCTCTCTCCTGCACCTCCCTCCCGACCAGAACCTCACCTCCATCCCTATCCCACTGCCTGGCAACCCCTCGCCACTGCACACTGAATCCCTCATTTTTTCTCAACCCAGAGCCTGAACGGTGCTCACAAAATCTACCAACCCTGGGACCCCAAAAGAGTTAATCTGGCCTGTGGGAAGTTCTGAAGCTTAGTCCTTCCTGCCTCCTTTCCCCACCTTCCCCCGCTATGGGGCTGGCGCAACAAGGGAAGGGAGGTATCTCAGTTGGGAGCTACATCAGTGAGGGTTTTTGTTTGTTTGTTGGGTTTTTTTTGGGGGGAGGGGAGGGAATGCCTCTCACTTGTGTGTCCCCTGACTGATTTTTCTGTAGATCAGTGGTCTCCGACTCAAATAATGGTGCCCTATGATAATTCAAGTGGTTAACCATAGATCTCAATAGGGCAGCTATTTTTTTCTCTTGGATACCTGAGTACAATTAAGATGAGATACTTTTGTACTTTTACTCAAGTAGTTTTCCAGAAGGATAATTTGACTTTTACTTAATTACATTCTTTTCCAAGTAGCAGTACTGTTACTCAAGTAACTTTTTGGGGGTATTTTTTCCACCACTGCTTATCAGCTGGAATTATAGGATTCACATCACATAGAAAACAATTCCAGATCATCATTCTTCTGTATGATATGCAAAGATTGTGTCTAAACGACAGGAGTGGGACTTTTTAAAATGAATTCAGTATGTTTGGAACAATCCCTTCTCCGCAGCAACTCTGTAGACACAGTTTGACTCCTTTGGAATCCTATTAGTTGGTGGCCCACCTAGGAGGTGGAGTGACATTCTGAAGAACACCTACATTCCCAAGCACCCTTAACTTTTAATGGGACTTGGGCTTTTAAGTGTCAGTCACTCCTGAAAATGGGCCAGAAAGTGTAACAAATTAGAATTCAGTCTTTCAGATACAAATAATGAAAAAGCCACAAACGCCACAAACATCTGACAAATCTGGGTGGTTAAATGTCATAGTTACCTTGAGGTCCTGGGCCTGCTTTAGCAGTAGGCTTTGCTCTGTTAGCAGGAAATTCAGTGACTCCAGGTTTGCCAGTGTTGCTTTCAGTATGGTGCTCAGCATAGCATACCACCAGCAAAAAGGCGATTGCTGCGGCAATGTGGAACTGTTTGGGCGACAACATCGTTGGAGGCCAGCTGTAAAACAAAGATATTTACTACCCAGTGCTGAGTGCTTTTTTCAACATAAAAATCAATTGATAATTGTTAATTCTTTATGTTTTGCTTGGGATTAAAATCTTTTTAACTTAATCTCTTCGGCTTCCTCGATACTAACATGATTAGTGTAGCTATAAAGTGGTTGGATTCTGAATGACCGCACCAAAACCAAAACATTCATGTTTTACAATATACTCGTCTGCCTAGAGAGCGAGAAAAAACTTTTTATAAGGCTGTTGATTGACTGATCTCATTTTTTCTTGCATGGCAGGTGTAACTCCTGTATTACTTATGCGGCAATGGGTAGGCAGATCCACTACAGTGAGAAAAAAACAATCACAAATCCACTGGGTACACCATCAATCTACAGTGAAACCTTTGTTATCTGGCACTCTGTTGACCAGAAAACTTTGTTAACCGGCATTGCCCCCAGCCACAATACTGTCACATCTTCAGGCGCACAGGCCTGTCTTGGTTTACCATGATTGGCTTAACAATTTTTTATTTAAGAAGTACTAATCATCTTTAACTCAAAATAGAAATGTGAGACCAACTGCCTCACACTACAAAACTATCAATATTAAAAACTTGAGTTTTACTATTATTGTCCATTGGTTTTTCCTAGGTTGATGGACCCTCCGATACCTGGAACTTTTAGATAACCGGAACACCCTACTACCCGAGCGTGCTGGATAACACAGGTTTTACAGTATTTTGAAAGAAAAAGCAACCAGACTTTATTCTTCCTTTGCTCCGTTCCTACTTCATTGTCATAAATTTAGCATTTTATAAACATCTCTGTTTCAGTGATGATTTCCTCAGCAAAAATAGACTGGTGATCAGCCACAGAAGAAAAAAATGAACTCTGAAAAAACACCTACATGGAAAATTGACATCGAGACTTTATGTTATACTTTAGCTAGATTTATTTTTTTTAATAAAGACATTCAGCTTACCTGTCAGCTCCAAGAGGAAATGAAAACAGGACTGTGATTCAGGTCCAATTTATAGGTTGTATAATTTGAGATGAATTTTTGTGTTGATTGAAATGCATTGTGTGTGTAATTAGATATACATTTGGCTAGCATCATAGTCATTTGATAAGTTACCTTGAATGATTTAAAACATTTTTTTTCTTTACATGTTGAAAGCATTGCACAAGAATATTTGAAAAGTCCGCATGCACCGATGCTTTCTCATTTTGTTGAACTAAGACATTACATTTTAATTGGGTAGAACAGTCTTGGTGCAGAAGAATAGATGATTGCAGAGATGCCTATCATGAGCTGTTTGCAGGATATAACATGTCCATAGCGCTCTATTAAATAATTATATCTCCATTGTGATTGTAAATGTCACAGAAGACAAACAACCCAGAACACAGCTTTTATTACCTACATATTATTTTCTCACATACCATAGTGTAAAAGCACTATATGCCCATCAGTGATTGGAGCTGAAAGCGTATGGGTAAATACAATCCTACATAATTGTGACAAAGCATACAAAACAGGAAACACTGTCTCTACATCTACCCTATTCAGAGTAAGTCCCAGGCAAGAATTTAGCTGATGCACTAATGTAAAAATGTATGCTTCTCAAAATATTGTAAGGGGAATTCCATATCTAACTAAGAACATAATCTCCCAATTAACATGAAAATATGAGGGGAGGATAATATCACCCATGAATAATAAGACAGATTCTCAGTGAGATTTCATTGCCAGAGCTTTGTAAAAGAAATTTAAAGAGGTCTTATAAGTGGTGGAAACAAGGAGGTTTAACCCCCCAGGCAGTAGATTTAAAGCAAACAAAAGAAAGTATATATTCACAATTGCACAGTCATCCTGTGGAACTCTTTTCCAGGAGTCATATAACAAGTGGAAACTAAGTCAAATTACAAAGGATGAATATAAACAAATAACGCAAGTATGCAGGGGCAAGATTAGAAAAGCAAAGGTACAGAATGAGCTCAATCTAGCTAGAAACATAAAGGGAAACAAGAAGACATTCTACAACTATATTAGAAGCAAGGACAGGGTAGGCCCATTGCTCAGTGAAGAGGGAGAAACAATAACAGGAAACTTGGAAATGGCAGAGGTACTTAATGACTATTTTGTTTTGGTATTCGTCAACAAGATTGATGGTGACAGGATGCCCAACATAGTGAATGCTAGTGGAAAAGGGGTAGGTTTAGAAGTTAAAATAAAAAAATGGTTTGCAGTCATGATTGAAAGACATATCAAGTGGGGTTCCACAGAGGTCTGTTTTGGAACCAGTTCTGTCCAATATCTTCATCAATGATTTAGATATTGGCATAGAGAGTACACTTATTAAGTTTTGGGATGATACCAAGGGGGTTGCAATTGCTTTGGAGGATAAGGTCATAATTCAAAATGATCTGGACAAACTGAAGAAATGGTCTGAGGTAAATAGGATGAAGGTTAATAAAGATAAATGCAAAGTACTCCACTTAAGAAGGAGAAATCAGTTTCACACACACAGAATGGGAAGTTATTGTCTAGGAAGGAGTGCTGCAGAAAGGGGTCTAGGGATCACAAGCTAACTATAAGTCAACAGTGTGACACTGTTGGAGGAAAAAAAGCAATCATGATTCTGGGATTCATTAACAGGTGTATTGTAAGCAAGACACGAGAAGTCATTCTTTCGCTCTAGGAGGATTAGGCCTCAGTTGGAGTATTGTGTCCAGTTCTGGGCACCACATTTCAAGAAAGATGTGGAGAAATTGGAGACGGTCCAGAGAAGAGCGACAAAAATGATGAAAGGTCTAGAGAACATGACCTATGAAGGAAGACTGAAAGAATTGGGCTTGTTTAGTTTGGAAAAGAGAAGACTGAGAGAGGACAATGTAGCTGCTTTCAAGTATCTAAAAGGATGTTACAAGGAGGGGGGAGAAAAACTGTTCTCCTTGGCCTCTGATGATAGGACAAGAAGAAATGGGCTTAAACTGCAGCAAAGAAGGTTTAAGTTGGACATTAGGAAAAACTTACCAACTGTAAGGGTGTTTCAACACTGGAATAAATTGCTGAGGGAGGTTGTGGAATCTCCATCTCTGGAGATATTTAAGAGCAGGTTAGCCAGACATTTGTCAGGAGTGATCTAGAAGGTGCTCGGTTCTGCTGTGGGGGTAGGGGACTGATGACCTGTCAAGGTCCCTTCCAGTTTTAATGTTCTATGATTCTATGTTGTGAAGGTCAAGACTATAACAGGCTTCAAATAAGAATTAGATAAATTCATGAAGGATAGATCCATCAATGGCTACTGCCTAGGAAGGGCAAGACTGGTGTCCCTGACTTTTCTCTACAGGGGATGGATCACATGATGATGACCTGTTCTCTTCATTTCCTCTGGGGCACCTGACATTGGCCACTTTCAGAAGACAGGGTACTGGGAGAGATGGACTTTTGTTCTGGTCCTGTATGGTTAGTCTTATGTTAAGAAAAAGTCCTCCTCTCACAAGTTAGGACAGGGCTCTGCAAGGGAGCCTCCATGGGCTGGATCTGGCCCACCAAACTGGTTGATTTGGCCTGTGGCCACCCTTCTGCTCTCTTGCCCCCAGGCCTAAAGCACGTGAAGTGTCTTCCCACTGCCAGGAGTACGCACCTCCTAGAGGGAACCATCAGCTGTTCAAATAGCGGTCGGTTCTCTCTAGGGCTGTGTCCAGACTCAGGGTTTTTTTCGAAAAAAGTAGCCTTTTTTTGAAAAAACCTCACCTGCGTCCAGACTCAAGCCGCGTTCTTTCGAAATTAAATCGAAAGAACGCAGCTTTTCTTTCGATGGCGGTAAACCTCATTTCACAAGGAAGAACGCCTTCTTTCAAAAGTTCCTCTTTCGAAAGAAGGTGTTCTTCAATGTAAATAGGGCTTCTTCGAAAGAGAGAATCCAGACTCACTGGATGCTTTCTTTCGAAAAAGCAAGCCGCTTTTTCGAAAGTTCAAAGTGCAGTCTAGACGCTCTCTTTCGAAAGAGGCTTGCATGAAAGAATCTTTCGAAAGAGCCTCTTTCGAAAGAGGCTTGCAGTCTAGACATAACCTAGGTGCCAGGAGTTGGAGGGCAAAGACTTCACGTGCTTCCCCACCACTGGCCAATCAGGGTCTGTGGGAGGGAGAATATGGGATGTGTCCTGGCCCTACCCCTTTCGCCCAAGGTCCCACCCCTTCTAGGGCAGCTGGGGGCCACTTCACACATTTGTGAAGTGACCTCAAAAATTATTGCCCACCCCTGAGTACCATACAATGCCGCCAGTATAATCTTAATTCAGCTCCTTTGTGAATATACATTATACCTTTGCTTACTTGATCAGACACTAATTTTTTTTCTGAACGACCATGTCCCTTTCAGGGGATGAGTATTTATTCAATATTTCTTTTTATGCTCCGTAGTCAATGTGTGCTCCAGGCCTTATTTTGGACACGTCATTCCAACCATGGATACCGACTGACTTATTATACACTGGAACCTCCCTAATCAGGGTGGCGATGCTGGGGGAATGGCAGTACAGCAAAGCACTTGTCCAGTGCTATCCCCCCCCACACACAGTGGTGGTGGGGGGCACAGTGCCTAAGAATGGCAGATGGTGTGGAGCCATGTGTGCCCCCAGGAGTGGGACACCCCATCCCCATCCACCTGATGCCCAGACTCCACACCCCCATCGCCTCACATACACTCCCTTCCTCCTCTCAAAAATTATTGCCCACCCCTGAGTACCATACAATGCCGCCAGTATAATCTTAATTCAGCTCCTTTGTGAATATACATTATACCTTTGCTTACTTGATCAGACACTAATTTTTTTTCTGAACGACCATGTCCCTTTCAGGGGATGAGTATTTATTCAATATTTCTTTTTATGCTCCGTAGTCAATGTGTGCTCCAGGCCTTATTTTGGACACGTCATTCCAACCATGGATACCGACTGACTTATTATACACTGGAACCTCCCTAATCAGGGTGGCGATGCTGGGGGAATGGCAGTACAGCAAAGCACTTGTCCAGTGCTATCCCCCCCCACACACAGTGGTGGTGGGGGGCACAGTGCCTAAGAAGGGCAGAGAGGGTGGAGCCATGTGTGCCCCCAGGAGTGGGACACCCCATCCCCATCCACCTGATGCCCAGACTCCACACCCCCATCGCCTCACACACACTCCCTTCCTCCTTTCCTCTCAGATCCCACCCCCAGCAGGCTCCTAGAATAATTCGGCTCCTGCCTTCCTCCGAGTACCGGTCTGTATTGCTGTCTAGAGAAGGGCAGAGAGGGTGGAGCCATGTGTGCCCCCAGGAGTGGGACACCCCATCCCCATCCACCTGATGCCCAGACTCCACACCCCCATCGCCTCACACACACTCCCTTCCTCCTTTCCTCTCAGATCCCACCCCCAGCAGGCTCCTAGAATAATTCGGCTCCTGCCTTCCTCCGAGTACCGGTCTGTATTGCTGTCTAGGTTACATGTGAAATCATAATTCACTACTTTGCAAAAATGTTTAATTTTTCCCTTCAAAACAAAAAATATAGATGAACACCCATGGTCCAGAAAACTTCATAATCCAGTATAGTGTATTCCCCAAGGTTGCTGGATTAAAGAGGTCTAAGTGTGTTACATTTCCCATTTGCAGTGTTCTTATAGCCATCTGAGTCGCAGAGTGTGAGACACAAAACATAGGTGAGGTAATCTCTTTTACTGGGCCACCTTCTGTTGGTGAGCGAGCAAACTTTTGAGTGCCACAGAATGCTTCTTCAAATTGAAAGTTGCTCCAGTAAAAGATATTACCTCACCCACTTTGTCTCCAGTGTTCCCTCTAAGGCTACAACTACGCTGCGGCATTTGCCGCAAGAACATATGCAAATGAAGTATGGATTAGCATATTGCCATGCTTCATTTGCATAATTTAATCAAGCCATTTTTTGCTCAAAACGGCTTTAATAAGTTATGCAAATGAAGCATGGCAATATTCTAATCCGCGCTTCATTTTCATATGGTCTTGCGCCAAATGCTGCAGTGTAGACGTAACTTAAGATTTTCCAACCATGAGTGGAGTGTGCTCTTGCGCCAAATGCTGCAGTGTAGACATAGCTTAAGATTTTCCAACCATGAGTGGAGTGCGTTTTGGCTTATGTACCAATATTGAGGTCATGTGTGCTGGTTTGGATGTGTGCCCCCCCCACACACATCCCAGACACTGGAGCAGATGCCCCCTGTCCCCTGCCATGCAGCATATCCCACTCACAGCTGCCAGAGCTGACCCTACCTCCCAACTCTGGCCATCTGGCATGTCTCGGCCCCACCCACCAGAGCAGCCACCTGCTGCGTGAGTGCTGCTGCACAGCTCTGCAGAGGAGGTGAGCCAGGGACGATTTCTTTTTGTGCCATGGCTGCACAGGCACGCACCTTAACAGGAACTATGCTTGTCCCTCTAATTTTCAACTGGGCATTTCTATGGTGCTCTCACCACAGTATATAGGCACTTCATAAACTGTAGTGGGGCTCTTATTACAAACATCTATGGACTTGAAGTGTTGGCGCTCTCCCTATTTTACAGATGGGGACATGAAATGCTGAGTGACTAAAGCTAAACTTTTCCAAAGGGCTTGTCAAATTTGAGTGCCCAGCTTGGTGCAAGTAGGCCATGATTTTATAGAACTTTATATGCTGAAAGCACAGTATCAATTGACTCCTGGTTGCAGTTTTGATCACTCAGCAATTCTGGCTGCAAACATCCCCCATTGGACACACCAAAAGGCACACAAACTAAACTTTTCATAGCTGTCCACTAAATGTAAGTGACTTGCTCAGTACCATTGGCAGAGGGAAGAACAGAGTGGCAGAGTCATTTGATTTCCCTAACCACGGGTGTGTCTAGACTACAGAGTTTTGTCGACAAAAGTCCACTTTTGTCGACAAAACTATACCTGCGTCTACACTACCGCTGAGTTCTGTCGACATAACGTCGACAGAACTCAGCAGTTTTGTCGACGCTGGTAAACCTCATTTTACGAGGCATAATGCCTTCTGTCGACAGAGTTTCTGTCGACAGAAGGTGTTATTGCATGTAAACTGTCCTTTGCATCTACACTACCATGTCGACAAAGCAGCTTGTTGGTTTGATGTGTTGTGTTGGTTTGATGGATCTAATAATAGAATAAACCACCAGTTTGGGGGGAGTGTCTCCCCCGAATGTGGCATTTTCAGAGTGGCCCATCCCAGACCTCCAATCACATCAGTGATGGGGTGTTTATCCCAAAGAGGAAGAAGAGTTGTTTAGCACTGGTCCAGCTGGAAGTAATGGGATGGAGTCTAGAACAGGGAGGAAATTTAGGCTAAATATCAGGGAACATTCATTAATGATGAAATCTATTTGAATGTGTATGGGCTCCCAAGGGAAGTGGAGGCCCCATTGATTCTGATATTTCAAATGGGTTTAGAAATGACTGGTGAACACAATATAAGAAATACTTGTCCTAATCCCCTGGCCACAGGACTTGATGTTGCCTATTTGATTACTATTTATCTTAGAGTATGAAAGCTTCAGAAACTAAGCTCATGCTATAGAGGCACCTTTTGACATTCAAAGATCAATGTGGAGTTAAGCCTTTTCCAACCATGAGAGGCAACCTGAGCTGGACAGACTTCCTGTTAGGAGTAAACTACACTTCACTTCCTGGTTCTCAAATGTCTTTCTGAAAAAAAAATCATTTTCTGAATAAATACTGTTTGCTGGTGCTACCTGGAACATTTAATTAACTTCACACAGCTGAGTACAGACACCAAGCTTTCTTTGTGTGCTTTTGTCTCCAAAATTACAGGGCAAATATCAGTTTTCATAAACTTTGCTACCTCAGTACACGTAACAGCCATTCCCACCGTGGTTAGGAGAAGGTAATCACGAATGACTGATGATTCTGAAAAAAGGTTTGGAACAGGCCTCTCAGTGGTTTAGCCAGATTTGGTTTATTGTTTATCCAGGTTCATTCTAGGGCTCACGAAACCTCACATGGGGAGGTGCAAAAAGGAATTGGACAAGATACAATAATCACAGAAGACATTAGCTATGTTACTGAAAGAACATGCTCCTGTTTACATTTGACAGAGAATATTGCCTGGACTCTGCACTAGGAAATCACCTGCAAGGATATGATTTAAAATTCACAGATCGTGAGGCGGTACTGGTTGCATTTTTTGTCATTCCAGCCCCCATCGGTGTACATTTCCACACAGTTTTCCCCTCCTTTTCCATTTGGCTCATAACTGCGCCAGTTGGTATAATTGAGTGGGTTTCCCTCTAGATCATGGAATTCACCTGGCACATCACCCTCTCTTATGCCCAGATATGCATATCTGTTAAACCGTTTCACGATGGACCAGATTGCATCATTCTCCTCCTTGTTCCTGGGGATGGCAATGGAGCCACCAGCATTTTTGCATGACTCTAATGCGCTCTCAAAATTGACTTCTTTCCCATTGGTAGCGAGTATTTTTCTCCCGATTTCTGTTATTGTTCCTTCCAAAGTAAGGACTAAAAAGGAAATTGAAATGGTCTGGTTAGTACTTTTGACTTATTTCAGACTACTATATTCCTGGGAAGGCAGAAAAGCCACGAGGAAAAGAGAAAGTGGAAAAGAAGAAAAGACAAAAATAGAAAGGGGAAAGCAAGAGAAAACACAGGGGTTGTGTCTAGACTGGCAAGTTTTTCCGCAAAAGCAGCTGCTTTTGTGGAAAAACTTGCCAGCTGTCTACATTGGCCGCTTGAATTTCCGCAAGAACACTGACGATCTCATGTAAGAAATCAGTGCTTCTTGAGGAAATACTATGCTGCTCCCGTTCGGGCAAAAGTCCTTTTGCGCAAAAGGGCCAGTGTAGACAGATCAGATTTGTTTTGCGCAAAAAAGCCCCGATCGCGAAAATGGCGATCGGGGCTTTTTTTGTGCAAAAGTGCGTCTAGATTGGCACAGACGCTTTTCCGCAAAAAGTGCTTTTGCGGAAAAGCGTCCGTGACAATCTAGATGCTCTTTTCTGCAAATGCTTATAACTGAAAACTTTTCCGTTAAAAGCATTTGTGGAAAATCATGCCATTCTAGATGCAGCCAGGGAGAAAGGAAAAAGGAGTAAAAAGAGACAGAGGAAAAAAAGGGAAGAGGAGGAGAAAAGGAAGAACAACCCCAGTCACAATCCCACTAGCTAGTTTGTATAATTTTTCACCTATGGATCCTGAACATTTTAACAACAGAAAAGGAAAGTAATTTTAACAAAATCTCCTCAATTTTCCCCATCATCTGTAATGTCCTAGAATGGCTGTGGCCTACTGAAGATATAGAATCAGAGAGTCATGCAACTGGAAGGGACCTTGAGAGGTCATCAAGTCCAGTCCCCCGCACTCATGACGAGATCAAGCACCATCTAGACCATCTCTGACAGGTGTTTGCCTAACCTGTTCTTAAACATCTCCAATGATGGAGATTCCTCCCTAGGCAATTTATTCTAGTGCTTAACCACCTTGACAAATTAAGAAGTTTTTCCTAATGTCCAACCCTGGCTAGAATTTGAGCCCATTGCTTCTTGTCCTATCATCGAATGTTAAGTAGAATAATTTTCACTCTCCTCATTGTAGAGACTTGGAAGCTGTTAACATGTTCCCTTTCCATCTTCTCGTTTCCAAACTACACAAACCCAGTTCTTTTAATCTTCCTTCTTAGTTCATGTTTTCTAGAGCTTTAATCATTTTTGTTGCTCTACTCTGAACCTTCTCCAGTTTGTTCACATCTTTCCTGAATGCGCTGCCCTCCATGCTGAACATGCACAGCACAGCCCTTTGCACTATGTGGAGCCTAGTCCCTTTTGAATCTTTTCTGTGTGAGTTCTTATACTTCTCTCACCTTGTAGTATGTTGCATGGATGTAAACACCTGCCTATGTCCCATATGCTCAGCCCTTTGCATTACCCAAGTGTCATTGACACATACACTGACTAATATTTCTTGGGTACATACATGGCCCGTAGTACTGTAGTAGTGTCTAAATGCCTCACAGATTCTCTTCACAACACTCTTGTGAGAGGGAAGTGCTAATATTTTCTTATGGTACAAAAAGACTGAGTGACTTTCCCAGGGTCACACAAGATGTTTGTGGCAGGGCAGGAATTGAACCCTGCTTTACTACAGCTCGGGATGGGCTGCTGAATCATCTTTTCTCTTCTTCCAATGTGCAACAAAGACCGCAGCTACCTTAACTGGTGTTTGAAAAGAAGTGCTTCAAGGAAAGTTTTAGAATACAAGTTTTGAAATGTGCCTTACTTTAAGTTGGTTAACTTTGTACGTTGAATTTTACACAAGTTGTGGGAAAAGAGGAAAAGCAGAAAGATTACCTCCTTCCAGACTTGTAATTCGATGTTTTAAAAACTGGAAGATTTCTTGTAATTCAGGATCAGCAGAAGCAGGATGACCTAGAGATAAAAATAATAATTGTACAGTTGATTTAAACTGGACTTCACAGATATGAAAAATTCATTTTATGCAATCGGGGTGGCCAAGAGACTTGCCAAGCACCTGGGCAAGATGGAGGTGGGAGGTGGTCCCCTTGGGCGGAAGAGGCAGAGCTGGGGGCTAGCTTCCCAGAACCAGCAGTGGCTGCAGTCTTGGGCCCTTTTAAAATGCCAGGCCCTGCTGCAGCTGCCTCCTTTGACGGCCTGTTGGCAGGCCTATATACAATTAATAACAATTTTCTAAAATTGGCTTGTACTTAATTTAAGCCAGTTTCATTTTCTGTGGTAGAAAATTGTGTTTCCTTGTTCATACTGATTATTCCTGTATATAATATATAAAATTAATGCCTATTGAAACTCCAGCTCTGGAGAGTAGTTACTTAAAGCATGTTACATGTGACATAAGATGCATTGTTCTAATCAGAAGTCTTTTGTGTCTGTGATACCTGTGAAAGGGTTAATATTTTTGAAACAGTAACAGTAGACAGTAGACTCTTTTCTGCTCAGACAGTTTCCTTTATGGTCAGTTAAACTCTTATAAGTTTACAGCGTGCTTCTGCACAAAAGTTATTGTAAGGTCTAATGACGTCAGCCCTGCACTGGCCTCAGAAGGGTTAAATCCAGTCCTGGGAGAGGGCTGGGGCTGTGGAGCAAGCAGCTGTGGCAGATACAGCCAATTAGAGCCCAGCTGAGGGCCGTATAAATAAGGGATCTTGGGAGGAGAAACCCCCCCCCCCACACTCACTCACATGCTAGCTATGCAGCAGGAAGGACCCTGCTGCCAGGGAAGCTGGAGGCTTCCTGACACAGAGCTGTGCTGGGGAGTTTGGGCCTGACCTCACTCCCAGGCTGCAGGGCCTGAGGCAAGGACTGTGGGTACTAGGGCTGTAGGGAGGCAGCCAGGATAGAAGATGGCAGCAGGTCCACACCCCCTTGCCAGTGATGAGAAGCCATTTCAGATGGCAGTTTGCCCCTGAGGCAGGGGCTAGATGATGACTGGCAGTGGGTCACTGAGGCAAAGGGGAAAAGGGGGGTTCCCTGAAGGGGAAGTCCCCAGAGTGCTGGCACTGGAGCTGTGCAGTGCCCAGAGGGAAGGCCTCTGTAGTCTGTGAGGGACATGGGTCCTGACACAAGGTGCAGAACAAACAGGAAAAGCAGGTGAGACACCAGCCAGAGGGGGGCGCTCCAGGGCTGAATCGAGCTAATTCCCCATGGAGGCACCATGGCGGCGAGTCACACTGTGTTACAGATTCTGTGTAGGTTTTCTCCAAGAAATATCCATCGCTTATAGGCAAAGAGATTTAAAACAAGAACAAAACCTCCCAGCATGCAAGTTTAGCATGGGATCTGAGAATCTAGCTGGCTATTTTCTTTCATACAAATCATCACCAGTAATAAAGCTTCTATAGGCCAAATTATGCTATTAGTGGATAGAATCACTGTAACTGATGGGAAGTCAATACAGAATTCTGTTGCTCAAGGAGTCGATGATTCCTTCTCGCTGTCTCAGAGCTAAGCTGCTGCTGCATGTGTAAAATGAGTTACAGGGAGTAAAACCTATTGTAGTCAATACAGTCAGCAGATCTGATTGACACAGCCAGGGAACAGATCAGCTGAATGATAAAGGCACCATTTTCACATAGTCGGTTTTTAATAGCCACACTTCACTTTAATGGACACAATTACTTTTCCCTGGACTGCTTTACACATAGCACAATTATGTAGTTTTTGGACTAAACAAAGATAAGTCTTATTCACCTTGTGGTCCAGGCTCTCCTCTTTCTCCTGGGTTCCCTTTTTCACCCTGGAGTCCTGGTGCCCCAGGAAGCCCATCTCTTCCAGGAAGACCTGGAATGCCAGCGGGTGGTCCCTGCGGACCTGGAGAAGAGAAACATACAAAGGAAAAATGTACATAAGAACGGCTGTACTGGGTCAGACCAAAGATCCATCTAGCCCAGTATTCTGTTTGCCGACAGTGGCCAGCACCAGGTGCCCCAGAGAGGTTGGACCGAAGACAATGATCAAGCGATTTGTCTCCTGCCCTCCCTCTCCAGCCTCTGACAAACAGAGGCCAAGGACACCATTTTATCCCCTGGCTAATAGCCTTTTATGGACCTAACCTCCATGAAATTATCTAGCTTCTCTTTAAACTCTATTATAGTCCTAGCCTTCACAGCCTCCTCCGGCAAGGAGTTCCACAGGTTGACTACACGCTGTGTGAAGAAGAACTTTTTTTTATTAGTTTTAAACCTGCTACCCATTAATTTCATTTGGTGTCCTCTTGTTCTTCTATTTAGGGAACTAATAAATAACTTTTCTTTATCGGCCCTCTCCACACCACTCATGATTTTATATACCTCTATCTTTTTTGAGGTGTGGAGACCACATCTGTACACAGTATTCAAGATATGGGCATACCATAGTTTTGTACAACACTTCTTTTCACCTGATACATTTTTTGGAAAATTCAGAATAAGCCCAGGTTTAACAGCTGCTGGCCTGCAAACAACAAACTGGATTGTGCTGCTGAATCACTTCCTAAATGCACAAGCCTCAGGTGACTGTCTGTTTCATAACAGAGGCAAAGCACTGACCCCACTGGAATGAGTAACCAAATGCATGTTAGCACCGCAGCTACTTCGAGCAGCTTTAGTAATGGAGCTGCAGCAAGTTTCTGGCCAGCCCTCATGCATGGAAGGACATTGCATATTGCAACAGTCAGCCTCTGCAGGTGGTACCTGAATAGACCAATGGTGCATACAGACTCTTGGCTTCAATAGCCTGAGAAGTGCACCAGAATCCTGCCTATTACACTGACATGTTATAGCTTACTGGCATTGCATGATCACTCATTTATTTTAAAATCCAGTGTTGCTGAGCATGATAGACTATATCCTTCCACATGAAAAGTAGTTCCCACTGAAAAAGTGATAGAAAAGAGATGAGGAAAGCTGTGTTTGTGAGTGAATTTCTGCCCAAATCCTCTCTTATTCAAAAATACCCTGCCCTGTTGCCTTCTCCTCCTATGCCCAAGAGATCAGCTGTTGCATTGTGTCCAACAGCTGCTTTCATCTCCTTTTCTTGCAAAAATGAATGTGGACTATAGACCAGCTCTCCACTTAACTTTTACTATGGAGAGTCGGTTTAAAAATAGCTTAAGGAGTCACAAAATTGTTCTGGAAGCTTGTTACTGGAAGGGAGACAAATTAACAGCTGGAAGCCGAGTGGGAAATTTTCAGAAGAGTCTTTGAGAGATCAGTTTTCTTTTCAGTCCCAAATCAGGATAAAAAGCAGAAATCATGAACTGATAAGCCAGAGAAAAGTGAGGCACATCAACTGAAGTGTTTATTTCTATAATTTCAAAACTTTTTGCTTTTGTCCTTTTTATGCACCCTTCTTTTTCTTAACACTACAACTCAACTAGAAAAAAATGAAATAAAAACTGAATTTGATCCACAACCCCAACTTTTCTTTTAGAAAATATCAGAATTGGGTATTTGACAGTTTTGAGCCCTCTCCCTCTCTTCTTCCCTTCCACCCTCCCTCATTTTCATCAGACTAGGGGAAGAGGTTGGGATACTGGGGAGAGTGAGAGCTATGGATAGGGGTGTGAGCTCTGTAGTGGGGCTGCCAATGAGGAACTTGGGGTACAGGAGGGCTGGGATTGAAGTGTTTGGATAGAGGGAAGGGGATCAGGATGGGGGCAGAAGTCTGGGGCATGGTAGGAGGTCAGGTGCCGGGTGGCACTTACCTCAAGCAAATCGCAGAAGCATCAGCATGCAACCCCTCCAGCTCCTAGGCAGCAGTGTGACCAGGCAGCTCTCTGCGCTGTCCTGTTCACAGGGGCTGCCCTGACAGCTCCCATTGGCTGTGGTTCCTGGCAGAACTGGTGTTTGTGATGGGGCATGTGTGGAGCCTCCTGGTTGCTCCTACGCATAGGTGCCAGAGGGTGGACATGCTGCTGTTTATTGGAGGTGCGTGGAACCACGCCGGGCTGCCCCGCTGCGCTGCCAACCAGACTTTTAATAGCCCAGTCAGTGGTGCTGACCAGAGCTGCCAGAGTACTTTTTTGAGCAAGCCTTCTGGTAAAAAAACAGATACCTGGCAACCTTAATACATCTATGTTTGGGGCATGGAAGGAGGTCAGGTGTCGGGTGGCACTTACCTCAAGCAAATCCCAGAAGCAGCAGCATGCAGCCCCTCCAGCTCCTAGGCAGCAGTATGACCAGGCAGCTCTCTGCGCTGTCCTGTTCACAGGGGCTGCCCTGACAGCTCCCATTGGCTGTGGTTCCTGGCAGAACTGGTGTTTGTGATGGGGCATGTGTGGAGCCTCCTGGTTGCTCCTACGCATAGGTGCCAGAGGGTGGACATGCTGCTGTTTATTGGAGGTGCGTGGAACCACGTTGGGCCGCCCTGCTGCGCTGCCAACCAGACTTTTAATAGCCGGGCTGCCCCGCTGCGCTGCCAACCAGACTTTTAATAGCCCAGTCAGTGGTGCTGACCAGAGCTGCCAGAGTACTTTTTTGAGCAAGCCTTCTGGTAAAAAAACAGATACCTGGCAACCTTAATACATCTATGTAACGGGAGACAATAACTCATGGTACCTGGTGGGCCTGGGTCGCCTTTCATACCATCCCTTCCATCTCTCCCAGGCAATCCATTGGCTCCGGGGGTACCAGGGATTCCAGGAGCTCCTGCACACTTCTCCTCACCATGGCATGTCACCAAAAAAACAGCTGCTGCTGCTAGTATGTGAAGTGACTGGGGCGACAGCATGGTACAGGCCAGCCACAAAAGCCAGGTGCATTTACCAGGCAATGCTGCATTGAGGAAAAAAAAGGAGCTGATTTATTCTAACTGAACATGCTTATGAAGGCGTCATTATTAATTACACATTTGACCTTGAATGAAATGTTCAATTTGGGATTAAACTTTTCGGGTTGTCTCTTTGCCCCCCTTATTTACACTGAGGTTATGAATGTATATGTAAAATGACCCAAGCTTGTGAGATAATATTAAAAATGACCAACCAGCCATTCATTGGTGGCAATGGTAATAAATCATCTTCTTTTTAAAACTGGCATGTGTAAATCAAATGTAATATATTACATGGCAGTTCTTGAAAAATGCACAGTTCCAAATATTAACTTGCAAGCAAGGAAGGATTCCCGTGTTATGGATGAGTGGTTGCATTTACAAAATAATATTATAATCCAGAGTTTAAAATGATTCAAGAGGAGAAAACTAAACAGGACATTTTGGACAGCACTTTCTTCCCAGTTTTTGACCAACTATGCAACTGGTTGAAAACTTTCAAATTTTAAAATTGTGGACAATTAAAACAAATCTAAATGTTTTCTGGCTCACTGTCATTACAATCGAGTTAGAAATTAATGAGACATAAGTGGATGCCATTAGAGCCTGAATTCTTATTTGGTTTATTAGCATCATTCAGCTAAAATAGTATGAGTGATGGAGATGGATTCAGGCTGTCGGTGTGGCTCTCCCATCCTACCTTGTGTGACCATGTCTTTGATAGGTTCAATTTCATATAATATGTTAGACTTCTGCATCCATTTAGGGTGTGTCTAGACTACAGGGTTTTGTCGACAAAAGTGGACTTTTGTCGACAAAACTATACCTGTATCTACACTACCGCCGAGTTCTGGCGACATAACGTCGACAGAACTCAGCAGTTTTGTCAACAGCAGTAAACCTCATTCTACGAGGAATAACGCCTTTTGTCAACAGAAAGCATTATTGCATCTACACTAACCTTTGCATCTACACTCTCATGTTGACAAAGCGGCTTGCTTTGTCGACAGAACTGGATGTAGTCTAGTCCAAGCCTCTGTTGATAAAAGCCTGTAGTCTAGACGTACCCTTAGAGTCCTACTGACTCCAAACTAGTGGATCTTGATGTAGTGTCGGGTTTCTGATTCTTTCGATGTTAGGATGGAAAAGCAGCTGTATTCAACTCTAAGGGCTTGTTGACTCAGCAATTTTGAGGCATACCTGACCTAGCAGGCTTGTTGACGCAGCAATTTTGAGGCATACCTGACCTAGTTTCAATCAAGCTACTCACTAAAGAGAGCTGTGCACCTGCAATGGCTCAGGATACCCACCCGAGTACAATCCCACCCATATCGCTGGTACATATTAAGATGGCTAGTCCAAGCTGCTGTGGCTACCATGTTATTTTTAGTGCACAAGCTTTCTCAAAGGTAGCTATGGCAAGCCTACATGGGGTGTCCCAACTACAGTATAAATATACCCCAATTGTTGCCCTTACTCTCACTTCACTCCTAAAATCTCAGCATTTTTCAAGCAATTCCACATCTGATGAAATCACTACTATAAGTAGTCTAGACTAGTAACAAGGCAAGTAAATATATAACCCAACATTTGAAAAACAAATTGAAAAGGGAAAGGGAAAGGATTACACATGGTCTAAGTGAGCTTCTTTGTAGTTTTATAAAGAGTTCTACTCACCCTTCTTCTCTGAAGTAGACTGAAAAAGAGTCCTCAAAAGTGTCATTTATATAGCTTGATAAGCATGATTCACATGATTCTTTTTTTATTTTGTTCACATACCTACTTTGTTGTACAAATACTTAGAAAAGTTTCAGGAACTGTGTGATGCTGAATTTCTCAATTATAATAAGTTATGTTTTAACAGAGAAAAAAAGCTCATAAGTAGAACAGGGAGTCTTCAAGAAATTTTGGGAGGTAATTTAAAGCATGCAAAATTTTATGGAGCTTTCAGTTAATCTAATTTTGAAAACAAATCTTTGTTATAATTGAAAGATTAAATCTTTGTTACAAAGCAGAATCATCTTGGAGATAGGTGAGGCAGCCTGTGACTTATTGGATACGGTACTGAACTGTAACTCCCAGGCCCAAGGTTCTAGTCCCAACTTTGCAAATGGTCTGTTAGGTGAGGTTGGGCAAATCACCTCTCATCTCTGTGCCTCAGTTTCCCCAAACTATAAAAAAGGGATAATGACAATGATTTCCTTTGAAACCTACTGGAGGCAACCATTAAGCACTTGGTGTTACTTCTAAGGCTCTGGACCAGGTTCAGGTTAGTTTCAGGCTCTGCTATAGACTTCCACTGTCAACTTGGGCAAGTCACTTAATCTTTCGGTGCTTCAGTTTCCCATCTGTAAAATGATGTTAATACCACTTTCTGTCCTCTGTCTAGTGTCTACTTGTTTAGTTGTATCACCAGGACTGGGATAGTCTCTCACTGTGTGTAAATAGAGCAGCTAGCAGAATTGGCCCCCAATCTAGACCAGGTATTCTAGGTGCTTCTGTAACAGTAGTAATAAGCAGTACCATGATTGTGAGTAGCTCACGAATCACACACAAGTCAGAATACACATGAAACAGAAATCAGATACGTGTACATCTTTGTAACACTTGTTAGAGATTTACATAATTTCCCCCCTTAAAAGAGTTTATATCCCAAACCACCACCACCACCAAATGGTCATTTAAAAAAGCCAGCCCCACATAGCTGATGTCAAATAGCAACTAGGACAAACACTAAATCCTAAGGAAACAATCAAGGTTAAGAAAGACTTGCAATCTACCATGCAACCCAATTTCTGTATTGGTGAAATGTAGCCTGCGGAAAGAGTAACAAACAGTGAACCACAATGACCTCCTATGTGTGAAAGATGCCTGAATTAATTTGTGTCTTTTCCCCAAATTACAGAATGTATTGTCTATTTTACGGCTTCTAGTTTTGGAATGTGAGAAACTTTGTAGCATACAGGCCGAGGAGGGGCCAAAGAGTATTGCTACATTTTAACTGCTAGTGAGGCACAGCTGCGCTGCTGGAGTGAATCACTGGAGACAGTATCTACATCGACAGGTTGTTACAAGCACAGTCCATATTTTATGTTAATACAGAGAAGGGGTCAGATTTGTCCAGTATTGCACAAGACACAGTCTCGCTGCTAACAATAAAAACAAAATCATTCTTACCTAGTGGGAATTCAGGAAAATCACCAAGAACTCATTCAGGTCAGATGCAGAGGTGCTGAGCCACCATAGCCCCAGGTGGCTTCATACCAGCACAACACCTAGCATGCCTCCAGAAATGTACATCCTGAACTGTCCAGTCCTCTCCTCAACAGTATGAAAACATGAAGCCCGTTATTCCTTTAAGGGAGTAATATGCATGTAACGTGTTGCCCCATATAGAGTCACCCAGATATGTCAGCTTGGTCTGTTTACCAACATTATTTGGGCAGGGCTGCAGGGTTTAGAACATGTGTTACACCATCAAACAGGGGAATCTTATAACATCACACACACTGTTGCCCCACATAATTTACCAGGATAGTACTGATGAGCATAGTTTTCAAATGATACTTTACAAGGCATACTTTGTACAACGATCACAGAACAGTGTGAAGAGTGTGAACACAGGAGCTTTCTGTCGCAGGATCACATTTGTAAAAATAAACTGCATAACATCTAAGTTAACTGTAAAAATTAAAATCTTCAAGCAGGTAGACACCCTTATAAAATTCAGCCCCTTTCATCTATTTGCTCTTCTAGGAAAAGCAAATGCCAATGATAGAATGCAAAAAAACGAGCATGTGGTTTTTTTCAACTTCTGTGGGAAGAGGCAGGTGTGGTTTCTTAACTGTAGGAAATATATAACCTTATTAACCAAATTAACAGAAGAGCTACTTGTCCTTTGCTTTCAGCTTAAATATTTTTCCTGATTTCTTATTTCCATGAAGTTCCATACTAAAACCACAAATTCAAGTGGCCTGCATGCGGCATAACAAAAGAGTTCATTGTCTCAGGGAATTATATGACGTTAGAACCATTGAATGAAGAATGGTCTAGAAGAGGTGGGGACCATTGGCTTACCATAACTCATTTCTTAGATCGTGAGGTGGGAAATAATTAATTAAACCAGGGTTCTACGCAGAACACGTTTAAAGGCCACGTTTATGTAAAGAATACATGAATTTGTAGATCTGTTACTTCAGAGGCAATGAGGGAGTTTATGTGATGGACTTTACTTGCATATATGTCACATGTACTACTTGTCACTGCACAAGATAAATGATGGATTAATTCATAAATCTAGCTACCTTGCCAAAAATTCAACTGGTGGGATTTCCACTTCCTCTAATACGGCATGTGCATGTATAGCATACACCTAGATCATATGGAAAAGTTGCCTTTATCACACTTCTTTTTGAGACTCTTCTGACCTGCCTTTTTCAGAGGAGGAGGTGGTGGTGCAATCCATATTTCAGAAAGGCTCTTAGGGAGAGTATCCTCAAACATGCTGTATCTATGTCACCTTGGCTCTTGCTAGTAGTAAGTGGGATGACATGTCAGATGTGATCCGAAGGTCACTGAGGTCCATAGGAAGACTCCTATTGACCCATGGTTTTGAATTTAGACCTCAAATTTGTTTCCCACCTCAGTGATAGCTTACACACAACTCCATTCTCTACGTAGCCATCCATGTCCAAATGCGGCACTCATCACCATGGTAACCGAGTGCTTCATTATGCACATTCTCTTCAGTCGCTCTTATTCTTTATACTGAGATGTGCTTCCTTGATAATGTCTGTGTGGGGATTTTTTTCTTCGTTTATTGGTTCATTAAACTTACCACAGGACCATTGCAGACGTTAGCTTTTGGAGACCTGAGATGATCCCATCGGGTATGTCTACACAATGTGAGCCCTCAATGTAAGCTCCTTTGCATCTACACACCAATTGTGTTATCCTAGGGCTTTAACCTGGGGTTCCAGCACCTTGCAGGGCTGGAGGGT